TAAAGTTTCAGGTCCTTGCCAGGGGGCCTGCAAGTTTGGAAGGGAGATATTTAGTCAAGTAATTACTTAAAAAAAACCCCAAAAATTCTAATCCTCTTGGTTTATTAGATCTCAAGAAATGCTTTGCAAGAGGTTTTCATTATGCCCTGAAAACCCAACCACCTCCGGCTCCCCGGGTCAGCGCTCCAGGAACTTGGAGCTTCTGCATCTTCAGAAGAGATTTCTGCTGGGAGCAGGCAAGGGGCAGCCAAACATCCACACACCTGAAACGAGCGGAGTGGGGAAAAACACTGACCAAAAATCTGGAAGTCTCATTTTCGATCTTGATTTCACTCCTAGCAGGTGGCTGAGATCAGTTTGTAATATTCAAGTGTGTTCAGTTACTGTCAAAACCATATTTTCCTAAAGCTTTGAAATAGAAATAAAGCAATCACAACCCAAAATAAATAATAAAAAAAAAAATCCTCCTGCAAACATTCAAACTGCTTTAGAAGCAGTGGACAAACCACAGAGAGAAGGAAACATGTGCTAGCAGATAAAGGCAGGAGCCAGCCGTTTCTTACCCAAGGTCTGGCTGGGAATTGCAAAAATCGCCCGCAACCCGTTTGAAATCCTCCCCGCTGCTCTGCCAGGGCAGAGGCAGAGCGGCCCCTCGGAGACACGGCACGGGAGGATCTTCGGCTGGCTCCGGCTCTACCTGCTGACTCGGAGCCCTGCCTTTGGCAGGTCAGCTCTCGTCTATCTCCCGACCTGCTGTAAACGAGGATAATCGGGCACAGTTCAGGATAGGCAAGGTTTGCGCTGCGCTCAGCGGAGATAAAGCGCCCTGTAAACGCTCAGCGCCACTGGCACGCTTAGGCAGCTGTCCTGGTTTCGGCAGGGATAGAGTTAATTCCCTTCCTAGTAGCTGGTACAGGGCTGTGTTTTGGATTTAGGACAAGAACAATGTTGATAACGCACCGATGTTTTAGTTGTTGCTGAGCAGTGCTTACACTAGTCAAGGACTTTTCAGCTCCCCATGCTCTGCCGACTGGGAGGGCTGGAGGTGCACGGGGGGCTGGGAGGGGGCACAGCCGGGACAGCCGACCCAAACCGGCCAAAGGGCTACTCCATACCATACGACGTCATGCTCAGTACATAAACTGGGGGGAGTTGGGGGGCAGCGACCGCTGCTTGGGAACTGGCTGGGCATCGGTCGGCGGGTGGTGAGCAATTGCATTGTGC